AAAAAAACCAGGAAAACCAGGGAGAAAAGCAGGAAAACTGCTCTTTCTCCAGGGAAAAAAGAAAAACAACTCGGAATTGCGGTGCTGGGAGGAAATTTGGGCGGATGAGGCCGGAATTTGGGGATCTGAGGGGCTGGGAATGACTTTGGGAATGTTCAGTGCCCGGCTGTTCCCATGGTCTGAGATCCGGGCATGGAATTCCCGTTTTTCCCGCAGAAAACGTTGGAGGAGGAGAGGCGGGAAATGCTGGTGAACAACCGGGAAAGGTGGAACGAGGCCATGCAGGCCCACAACGAGCAGGAGGTGAATCCCGTGGAAAATTCGGGATCCTGGGAATGGCTGAGGGTGGGGAAATCCCTCTGGAATCACCCGCTCCAAGCGTTCCCAGCACCAGGAGCCAAATCCCCATGGATTTAAATCCCACGGGGTCTGATTTTCCAGGGATGGAAAACTTTTTCCAGGTGGGAATTGTTCCCAATATCCAACTAAATTCTCCGTGGAATTTTCCCCCTTATCCTGTGGGAGCGGAGCTCGATCCCACCCGGCTCCAGCTTTTTCCAGGAATTCCAGAGAGGGGAAAATTCCCTCTGGAATTCCTCTTCGACAGGCTGAGCCCCTTTCCCAGCTCCCTCAGCCTTTCCTAGTGCTGGATTTTTTGGGATTCAGGTGGGAAGAGGCTGGGAATGAGATGGATGGGGTTGGAATGAGGTTGGATGACGTTGGATGACCTTGGATGATTTGGGATGGTCTGGGATGGTCTGGGATGATTTGGGATGATTTGGAATGAGGGTGGGAATATTTGGGATGAGCTGGGATGGTTTGGGATGAGGTGAGATGATTTGGGATAATTTGGGATGAGGTTGGATGATTTGGGATGATTTGGGATGGTCTGGGATGAGGTTGGATGGTTTGGGATGTTCTGGGATGATTTGGGATGAGGTTGGATGATTTGGGATGGATGGTTTGGGATGATTTGGGATGGCTTGAGATGATTTGGGATGGTTTGGGATGAGCTGGGATGATTTGGGATAATTTGGGATGAGGTTGGATGATTTGGGATTATTTGTGATGATTTGGGACGATTTGGGATGGTCTGGGATGATTTGGGATGAGGTTGGATGAGGTTGGATAGTTTGGGATGGTTTGGGATGATTTGGGATGGGCTGGGATGATTTGGGATGAGGTTGGATGATTTGGGATGGATGATTTGGGATAATCTGGGATAATTTGGGATGATGTTCTCGTCGTTCCCTCAGCTGCAATTCCTGCGGGAGCGGATGGACAAAGCCCTGGAATTCGAGAAGCTGCTGAACGAGCTGGAGGCTGAGAGCGTGGAAAGCTACGACAGCACGAAATTCCAGCTGGAACGGGATGTGCAGGTGCCAGGAAAGGCCCCAGATCCCGGAATCACCACTGGGAATCATGGAATGGTTTGGGTGGGAAGGGACCACAAATCCCATCCCATTCCAATCCCGACACCTCCCGTGATCCCAGGGGGATCCAAGCTTTCCTTGGACGCTCCCAAAGATTCTCTGGGAATTCCAGCCCAGCCAGGAATTCCTTCCCAAGATCCCACCCCAAGCTCCCCTTTCCCACTGGAAGCCATTCCCTGGCTCCTGGCCCTCCAGCCCTTTCCCAAATCCCAGCTCTCCTGGAAACCTCTGGAAAAGGCTCCCAGCATTCCCTGCATCCTTC